TTTTTGGATTGATCTTTGGTTAACATGCATGCCTCCACTTCTTCGCCACTTCTTGAAAATAGCTTTTGGCCAATATGTTATTCATCTTGTGAACTACCTTTTATCAATGGATTATATTTGTCTTTCTCGTCAACTCTTTCTAAATGAGTACTTGCTTGTGAAAATTAATTTTGGTGGAATGTGTTATCAACATTTGATAATAAAGTGCCTGCATGTTTCTGACACCCACCAATTATGTGTTACCACATGCCTAACACTCGACAATTAAGGGTTGCAAGCAACTTTCTAGAATAGCTTTAAACCTGTACAATTTATTTTACTATTTAGGTAGGATTTTCAATCAACACTAAAGAGGTAAGATTTCTTTCTGTATATTGTTTTGTATTCCAATATCCCATGGATGTCTTTAGACACCTAATAGAGGAATATGGACTGCTTTTCATTAGCTTAACGATTTCAAATAAAATCTTGCTTTTGCTCACATGTTAGATTACTCCATGACTAATGTTATCTAATATGTATGATTAAAACCAAATAACAAATCTTAATCTTACTTACTATTAGTAGTGGAACTAGAGGTCGTCGGGGAAGACACTCACCACCTCTAAATTTTTACTAAATTCTTAAATATCATATAATATAGTTACAATATTGCCCCGTAAACCTATATATTTAATAATAATTTAATGTTAACTATACTTTTAATTTAATAAAAATATTTATAATACTTTTTTCTAAGAGATGGAAGCCTTAAGCTTAGTTACTTGCCACCCCTTCCCATAAGTTCTTATTTTGCCACTATGACTTTCTCTGACTTAACCCGAACCTTCTATAGAATATAGGTTACATGGACAAGACCATAACAAAGGGCATATGCAAATGCTCAACAGAGTATTTTATTTTTAATGTGTTTTCATTTGTTGTAATCATTTGCATGTGCTATACATCATTTTCATTTTTTACATTATTTTCTCCAAAAAAAAATATTCTACAAAACAAATTTAGCCTATTTAGCCAAAGTTGATGGCTAGAGTAGATATTATCTAACAAACAAATGGATTTAATTGCAAATTAAATTTTTATAGAAAATATGAATTTAACTGAAGATTTTAAATATATTTAATTCAAGCTAGATAAGAGCCACAAATATTTAAAAGAGTTCAAATTATTCACGACTATGCACGAAGTCTTATACATTTGTTTTGGGTTATTTAAATAGACCAAGAACAAATTTTTTATTGAAACTCAAATGACTCAAATTGTATGATGTCATAAATAAATTTAAAAAAAAAAGACATTTTTATATACATAGCATATAATTTTTATGTATTTACATATCTCAAATCTTATATGTTGCTTTAATGCTAAGCATGAAAATGTGTATTTTGCTTAAAAAAGACGATAATTGTTTTATTTTAGACGTGCCGTTAAAGATTTGAGTGCTATAAATATGAAAGTTTATTTGTAAGATAAGTAAATATATAATTATTTCGTGAAACTATCAGTCACAAACCATATAACATTTTCTTAATTGGAATAAAATTTCATACGAAATTCTTAAAAAAAGAAAAGTAAATACATAATTATTGTGTGCTAAGAATGTAAATTTCTCAGATCCTAATTTACAAATTTACATACATGTCTATGTTGTTTAAATGCTAAGCATTAAAACGTGTATTTTGCTTAAAAAAGACGATAACTGTATTATTTTAGACGTGATGTTAAAGATTTGAGTGCTATAAATATGAAAGTTTATTTGTAAGATAAGTAAGTGCATAATTATTTCGTGAAACTGTCAGTCACAAAACATGTAACATTTTCTTTATTGAAATAAAATTTCCTACGGGATTCTTAAAAAAAAAAAAGAAGTTAATACATAATTATTGTGTGCTAAGAATCTAAATTTCTCATAATAAATTAATGCATGAGCTTTAATAATTTTGTGAATTTTTTTAAGATTAATGTAATATGATAGTTAATTGACTATCAATGTTTTATATTTTATTAAAAAAAATTGCTATTTTTATTATCAAGTTGAGTTTTGAGCAATTATCATATTATCTTAAAATAGTTTGCTAATTAACAGTTCATTTGATGAATAGACATTTGAGTTAATGTAGATAGATCTCATAAGAAATTAAAAAAATTACGAAAATTAATGGCAAAGTAAGTCTTATTTGAGATCACTTTTATTATATAACTATTTTAGAAATATATTTATTGAGTGTATTTTTCACCTTTTTTTATTTTTATTTTTAAAAACAAGTCAACGCATTTTTATAATAATTCAAAATAAATTTTAGATTTTTCAATTTATTAAAATAATTATATTTATTTTAATTTATCTAAAATATTTTATCTCGAATTAAATTATAAATAAAATAAAATAGAAATGAAAAATTAAAAATTAAAAATGATCTCGAGCCAAATAAAAAAGATTAACGTACACACCAGTTGATTCATCTTGAACAAATTTTTACATCTGACGCGAATCTCAAGATGATTTTTTTAATAACAAATGTTCAAACAAATTTTTTATGCAAACTCACATTCAAACTCATCGACTCGCCAAGACGGACCCAATGGTATCAAATGCGGTCCAATCTGAGTTAGATCAAGCTTTAATCATGCCATTAAATCATATTTGGGGCCTTTGCAAGTATAATTGGAATGTCTAACAGATTCCAAATCTGGTAGGGGACTAGCCTTGAGCAAGAAGGAGGACAGAGCTTGGAGAAGAGGGAGTTGAAATCTAGGATCATGTACCGACGATCCGGTGTACACTTTCCACTCCTGCAACCAAAAAACATCGTCGAACACCGTTGGTCTCATGCTCCAGCAATTGCCAACCACTAATGATCATTGTCGGCCTTCTGTTGGAGCCACCAGCCAACGTTGACTGTGGATGTCACCTCTACATGTCCACTACAATTCCTGCCTCCGCCATCGCCTCTACCAACTACGATTGTCACCTTCACCGCCTCTGACCAACTTCGGCCGCCATCTTCGCTGCCATCTGACTCCGCTCGCTGCCTCTGCTGCCCTCGACCAACTTCTGCACTACCCTCCAGCCAACTCTGGCCACTGCTATTATTGTCTCTGGCCAACTCCAGCCACTGCCCTTAGGCGAACTCCGGCCATCGCCACCTGTCGACCAATTCCCACCATCGTCGACTATTATAAGTCACCACCTGTTCTTTGGAGCGAAGTCCCTTCTGAAGTTACAACATATACTGCAAAATCTTGACATATATTGGAAAGTAACAACACGCACCACTTACGACACAACAACATCTCCCTAAGACAATATAACAATACACCCCCAATGATGGTGACTTTTTTTAGACTCTTTAAGCTCTATTCGTGTATCTCTCAATTCGGGTCATTGCAGCTTACAAACGTCATTGCAACTCACCACTACAACCTAATTGATTATCTATGGTCTAACTAGTCCACAACTAATGCAAATCTCGACTCTGGTCGTTGCAACCTAATTTACTATCTATGGACGCCATCTCTGCTCATCACTATGGCTTATGTGGTCCACGACTCATGCAACTACTCATGCAAATTCCGACTTTGGCTTCTATGACCTACGACCGTCATCACTACTCACCACTACGACTTATGATATTAGTTAATACCCATGCAGTCCACAGTTCTGCAGCTTTTGACTCATGCCCATGAGACCTACAAACAATATTTGTGCTCACCACTATGGCCTACATTGTCCATAGCTCGTGCAACTCCCGACTTATTGCCACACGGCCTAAGAACGTCATTCACTATTATGGCCTTCACAACACACAACTTGTGCAGCTCCTGACTCCAGCTCTTGTAGCCTACAAACATCATCACAACTCAACACTACGACCTACGTGATTCACAAGTCATACAACTTTTGACTTCAGTCCTCGCAGCCTACGAGCCCCATCACAACTCACCACTATGACCTATATGACCAAATATGACCCAGGGTTTGCACTCGTGCAACTTCCAACTCAGACCCCTATGGCCTACAAAAATAGTCACAGTACGTGATCAACTACGACCTATGTGGTTCACAGCTCGTGCAGCTCTAGACTCCTACCTCTGTGGCCTGCAGACATCATTACAACTCACCACCACGCTCCATGTGAACAACTGCGGCCTACACTACACGACTCGCAGCTCATGCAGTTTCCTACTATGATCTTTGTGGTGAATCGACAATCTCGAAGTAACCATCTGCGGCGGCCCACATTACCAACTACTAACATAGCTTTCAACCACGACCTATACAATAAGCTAACACTGTGACCACCATCTACAATATTCACGGTTGACTACTGCTTCCACAGCAATCCACTACAGCCCTTGCAGCTTAATATCATCGAGAAAGACATTTATTACAGTAAGACTACGACTATTATTAATAAATTATTATTTTGGATTTACAATAATCATCTTTGTAGATTCTTCTTCCCAAATTCAATTGAATAGTAGACCCACATACTAAAAATTACATAGTGGATCATTTAACTAATTCAACTTAGTTAGTCCCCATGATCATTTTCTATTTTCTGAATTTCTCACGTAAAAACTTCTAGTGTCCTTACCGACTATCTTCTCTCATTTGCGTGATGCTGGATCCTCGTACAACACTAATACAATAATTCATTACTCTACCGTTGTAATTTTTCTGGCACGCATCAATAGTCAATTCTTCTGTATTACATATCTAACATTTAAACTTCAACTTTTACATACATTAAAATGGATGTATTTTTGATGTGATATGAATGATTCATATGGTATAAATATGAAAAGTAAAGGGTTGGATATGTTAATACATAAGAATTGGGTGGTATGTATGTAAAAGCCCAAATAAATTAGAGGTTCGGTTATACGGATAACTGTCAAGGATGCAAGCCCAGATATGCAGATTTGCTTGTGGATGATCATTCACAGAAATTACGCTGTCAATGAAGCAGTGAATTGAACATGCAGACTAGGAGCCCTATTCAAAATTTTCTATTTCCTACGCCATCCCAAATCAACGTACGGCGAAGATGTGGCCCTGAAATTCCACCAAAACGCGGTAACTGCTTATGTTCAGTCAACCTTACTGCTTCTTATAACTCTGCACCAGTTTCGACTTCGCAACTACCGCTTCTTGCTAGGCTCCTCTCCCGCTCTCTCTCTCTCTCTCTCTCTCTCTAGGGTTTCATGATATGTAAGCAATTTTCTTGGCAGTCCTCTTCCGTACTCTTCCCGCTTTCCGCACGCAGGGTTACGTGCGGTATGAAATTCTCTCTCTTCCCTTTGCCGGATAGCATAGGATTAGGTCGATTCGATTGATACTCTGCTAGAATAGAGATGGATCAACAGCCGCAACATCAGCTTGGCGTCAACAAGCTCGGGAGGAATATACGCAAGAGCCCTCTTCACCAGCCCAATTTACAGAGGCTTCCTCCGGCGGCGCTTAACGAGCAGCAGCAGGCCCTGCCAAATCTGCCCAGGGTGTACAACATCAGCAAAAGCGACTTTAGGAGCGTCGTACAGCAGCTAACCGGGAGCCCGGCAAGGGATGCCAGTGAAGCCAGATATCGCCCGGCGCCGGCCCAGTTTCCGCAGCCTAAGCCCCCTAGCTCGCGGCTCATGAAGATCCGACCGCCGCCCCTCACTCCGATTCCGCCACCTCCTCCTTTTCAGAACCAGATACCGAACCCTAACTATAATCTCAATCCGAATCCTGCTTACTATCGCCCTGCGCCATCGCCATCTGCTCCTGGTAGCGCTGTCTGGACTGAATCGCCGGTCTCCGCTTACATGAGGTACCTCGAGAGCTCTCTTCTAACGTCGGATACTTATAGGCAGTTTTCTAACGTCGGATCCTTATAGGCAGCCGCAGCAGCAGCCGCGCTCCCAGGGTCTTCTTCCTTTTCCTCACCCTGCAGCAACCGCAGCCGGTGCTTTCCCCTCGCCGAGAGGAATGATTAGCTCATCCTCCCAGCCGCCTTCGCAGCCGGCCTTGTTGCCGTCTCCTGGATTGCAGTTTCCGCTTCCGTCTCCGGGTTTGCAGTTTCCGCTTCTGTCTCCGGGCGCCTCGTTTCCCTTGCCATCTCCCAACTCACAGTTTCCATTACCGTCACCAAGCTCGTTTTTGAATCTTCTTTCCCCGAAATCGCCATACCCTCTGCTTTCTCCCAGGTTTCAGTATCCAACACCTCCCACCCCTAATTTCTTCTATTCACCATTGCCCCAGTCAGGAATATTGGGTCCAGGTCCAGGGTTTCAGACATTGCCTTCTCCGGGTTCTTTGTTTCCACAGTCACCCTCTGGCTCTCGTCCTTTGCTTAGTCCTAGATGCAGGGAGATGTAAACTATTGGCATTGGATGATGCTACGATGGAAGATGGTGCGTCTGACATTCTTCTTTATCTTCTTTATTCCATTTTTTTAGATTCGAGTTTCTGTATCATTAGATTTTGGACATTGTACCCAATGTGATTGTGTTCTGCTTTGACCATAGAAAATAGAGAGGAATATTCCACTTGAAAGCTTAAAGAATTAAAAAAAAAAATGTTGTGAGTATTGATTTCGGGATAGCTAGCAGTTTTTCTTTCTCTAGAAATTAGACTAATCTTGACGGATTCGTGTATGGAGGCGTCTCTGACAGGGTCTGCTCACGAATCAATTCATAGCTATTTAACTAGAAGAATGTTTGTGTCAAATACTTGTATGTAACTTTATGATTGAACTTATTGATTTTATTTTATTGTAAAACCTTTAGATGATAGAAGTTTTATCAATTGTTTTTTCCTGATTAACCAGCTAATTCTTTATTTTTAGCACCATCAACCTCTGAGTTTATATTTTAATTCTTTATTTTTTTTAACTTTTATTGTGAACCTATTCATTTAAGGGTACTATACCCATTACTAGACAACATGTAGATGTCAAACATTGTCATTGTTTGAGATTGATTATGTCAAATTTAGAATTGCTAATTAGATTTTTTTTAAAATGATTTTGTTGAAGGTTGTTATGAAATGATAGCTTTTGTAATTTCTGAAGTTCTATGTGCTGAGACTTGAATGTAGACACTGCTTTAAAACGCTTTGATGCTTATATTAATTGCTGTATGTTGACAAGTAGCATCAAGCAACGTTCTACTTTTTGTCTATATGTGCTGCTTTATACTTTTTAAGTAAAGGTTGATTTGTTTTCTTGATATAAACTATATGTAAATCATTATTTTGTTGTTTTTTTGGCTGAAATGCCACTCTTTTTAAGATTTTTTTTTTCATGATCTTGCTTAGGATTATATGTTCGTGTTGATTGAACTTTCTTTGCTTTTTCTAAGCTTATGACAACATTTATGACACGACATGTCATTGTTGAGTTTAAGCTCAACTATTTATGAGCTCTCTCCTAGAAAATATTTTTTGTAAGAGCTTTTACTTGATGTCTTAAAGCTCCAATATTTTATATGGTTATACGGCTCCAGTAGTTATTGTTAAATATTATTTTTGAGCTAGTAGTGGTGATAAATCAGTTGGTACTTTTTATTTTAGTTTTAAAGTATCTTTAAGATGATGCCTCTGATTAAACTTTAGAATTTTTTGCTCAGCATATTGTCATGTTATTAGCAATTCATATATTTGTTGATGCTATTTAAGGCATTGCTAGGAGATTGTGACTATAAATTATGTTTGGAGAGATTAAGATTGTTGCGTGCTAGAAAATCCGTGGAGGTAGAATAATAAAATAGCGTCTCAGTGTAGTACGAAATCCACCACACACATATGAGAAAATAACATAAGATATTAAGAATTCTTATGAGAAAAAATTGGGAAAGGTGAAAAATCATGAGTTCTAACTCAATCAGAATGATCCACTGTAAGTTTGTGAGTACAAGTATAAACTCTCGTCGCCCAATCGGTAAAGGGTTGCAATGTTTCTCTAAGAATAATGTCTATACGTAGAAGGGTTTGTTATATAACGATCGGGAGCAATCGTTACCGGGAGTTTTCGCCGAAATTTTGGCAAACCACGTCCGGGGTACATCGTTGCTTAGTATCTAGGACATTGCATTACTCCATAGTGCTTCGTTGCACGGCTCTCGGATTCTCCTTCACCTCACGATCCAGATCTAGTTCTTTCGTGAATGGAGTATGGCTCTATTTATAGATTCTAGGGATGACATCCCCTATAAATAATGCAAGAATCCAGACCACTCCATCGGATGACCCATAGCATTTTCTTTGATCAGACGACATGTTATGGACATTGAATTGTCTTAATAATGTTAGAATTGAGTGATCTTGGGCTTTTTGGATTCATCTAATCGAGAAGCTTGATTTGGCTATAAGCTTGTCAAATTTGGAATCCATTTGACTCTTTAAGTAACCATCCAATTCTTCCAAAAGTGGTTTAATGGCTCAATCTAGGCTTGATTTGGCTCGGATTGAATCAATTTTGGTGTCATCGGGTCAGTTTGATTGTAAGTTTGTTGAAATCGGAGTCCCGAATGATTTTTAATTTGAGTTTAGAAGTTTCTTGCTCAAAAAAATGCCATGAGATTCATGCGAAATGATAAAAATTTGTCGATGCATATCAAAGATGGTATTTGAAAGGAAGTTTACAACTTAGGGTGATCTCTAGTTCACTATGTTCAAGTGCAGAAAAATTATTAAGAAATTGTTCCAATATTTTTTAATTTCATTGCGGTGACTTGAAATCTAAAACTTGTGTGCTGCAAACTTTAGCCAAGGTTTTAAATATGGAAAGTGTTCCTTTTAGTGCCAGGTTTTTCTTAACCATTGCAAGTGTTTGTAAGTATTTGAATCTTAGTTACAAAAATGAATTTTATTGTAATAAGGTGTATTACATTTTCTGTTTTGTATTTACTTCTTATGAACTCAATTCTATGTCTGATTAGGTTTTAGCGAGTCTCATTCGTACCCACTTTCATATTAATTTTTATTGTGAGTAAACGTAGTAGTTTATCCCATCATTTCTGTTATTTTAATATTATGTTGCATGGAAATTCAAAAGTAAAACTAAAGGCGACTTCTTAATCCTTATATTGAAAAAGAAAAACCTCATCTTTTTAAGGAGTTACATGAATGGGAACTTTATTCCATCCATTTTAAGCGAAACAATGGCTCTCACTCATGAAATTGAGATTTAATCACTTTTGGGTGCTTAGAATGAAACAATCAGCCCTTAGAAAATACGAGAGTATATCTTTTTTTTGTAAATATTCAATAAAAGCATATGTGAATGTGTACTATGATTCTTTCTACCCTAGAATTTATTTATTAAACAAAATAGGCTTGTGTCTTCTGGTATTAAAGTTAAAGAATGTATGCATGGGTTGTGGTTTTGATATGCCTTATTTTGTGAGTTATGATATTACGTAAACCTGTCTGTTATATTGATATCGAAAGTGCTAATCATCTTAATCCCAGGTGTTCTTAAATACTATTCATTTTGTACTTTAGATGCTATTATACTTCATACAAAACAAGCTGATGTTGAAGAGGGAAGTCATGAGGCAAGTCATGCACTTTATTGCAATTTTTAATCCTTTTTTTTTTCGGAGTCATCTGATGGTTTTTTTTTATTAGTTTCAATAAATATCTTCATGCTTTGACACAGTCAGTGCTAGTATTTGTAGTTGGATTAAATTTCAAAGGGAGCTTGGTGTATGTTTTGTAAAGCTAGGAATGATGATGATTTCCCTAGATTTTCTCTATTAAGTTCCTCTTAATTTGATGGCGGAACCCTTCTCTTTAGATTTTAGTTATTAATTGTTACTAAGGGAATAAAATAAATGCTCCTACTGGACCATAGTATTTCTGCTACTGGACCATAGTATTTCTGATTCTGATTTTTTTTTTTTGTTTGTATTTTCTAATATCATGCTTAAATGCTTTGTTTTTCTAGTCTTTTTTCAGGTGTTATGACTATTAACCATATTCTCTTAGTTTTTAAAATTATGTGGAACATTATTCATATGCATTAATTCATATATGATGCTATTTGAAATAATTTGACTGAGCATCTAGTTTTTTGGTATTTGTAGTTAAGTATGGCTAGGGGAGAATGTATATACTAGTCTCAGAAGGTGTATTTTATGGTGTTATGTTTGCTCGGCTCCATTTGTATTAGCTATATTTTGAATTTATTATTTGGATCCGGTGGGCTTTGTTTCCCTCTTTCATTCTAGAGTTTTAAACATAAATTTTTTGCGGTTTTTCTTTGTTTGGTGGCTTTTGCTGCTCTTTTTTTGCAACTTCTATTGGTATAACTAAAGTATAATCACATCCCTATGAATTATCCTGCCACAATTTCCTGGCCACCTTACCATCTCTTGTGATATTATTTTCCTGTTTGTTTTTTTTACTTTGTTTTTCCTCTTTCCCTTGTTATCAAGCCTCAGCATATTTTTTGTCTTCTGTAATAGGCTTTGACAACTCTTCTACAATTTCTTTCTTTCTATTAAGACTGATGCAGTGAATTATATTGGATTTTGTAATTATTAATATGCTTATTATGCATGCATAAAACATCAATGGTTATTGAATGAAAATTCTATTTGGATGTGGCATCCATTCTACTTTACGAAGTTAACTCCTTGATCAAGTGAGATTCTTGAAGATTTTGGGTGAGGTTATTCCTTATTACATGCATAAGGCTTGGTTTTAGTGAATTATCTTCATTCTACAATTGTGCGTGCTCTAATTTTTTGTTGTTGGATTGATAATATGATTGATTTAATTGACTTTGACGGAACAAGCATGTGGATTATAAATCATTTGAGTGGCCTTATTGAGCTTGAATTTCTAATCATTATTTCTAATAGGGCATTGAGTTTTTTATATAAATTGATTTTTTCTACTTTTTGTTGACAGTGGCTGATTTTGGGCATCTCATAATAAATTAACATTATAAGCCATATACCTTGAGGTTTCCTACAACAAATTTAGTATCAAAACTTTTATATAATATTTTCTTTTAGACGTATACTATAATTCTATATTGAGGTTAAAAAAGGAAAAAAAAACATCAAAATGTTGCAATTCATTTGAAGTCAATTTAGCTTTGATTCTATGTAAGTTCAGCATAGTTATTATGGAGTGAAAAGTTATGTTTCTACATTTAATGGAAGGATTATCTTAGGATAATTTCATAGTGGTATGTGACTTGAAAGAATCATATGAAAAATATTGTACGTTTGATTCCCAAAGAATTGAATCTGCTAAAACAAAATCAATGGCACTTGCCCAATTAACTTGGTGAATTGTTGCTACTACATCAAAGTATACTTAAGATATTATGAAACTTAAATTTACTGCATGACTATTTTAATATTTCTTAATAAATGAAATATGGCTTGTTCGAGCTTTTAGATTTGAAGGTCTGCTCTAAAACATTGTCCGGCGAATAGTTGCTACATTAAAATGTCTATTTCATTAAAGATCCTTTGGATCAAATTAAATACGAGACTCAAATTCATTAAAAATAATTTGTGAAATTTTATGTGGAGTTTGAGTTTGAAAAATGTTACAGTTTGCCTGTTTTTAGGACTATTTCTCAATTGAAGAACATTTCTAAAGCAAAGTTATTATTATCATCTCATGTAAAGCCTGCTAAAGAAGTATCAGCCTCAAAATCATTTATAGTTAAATTTTAACCTCATTGAATAAACTATAATTCATGGCTATTTTTAAATAGTGAATTGTGCCAATTTAAGATTTACAATCGTGATTAACATAATTTTAAATCAAATTGTTCAATCTTATATTTGCACTGAAATTTACATTAGAATATGTACTT